AGCTTGGTTTAATTGTCTTTGTTTGGGGGTTTGGTTTGCCCTTTTGTGGTGTTTTGTTTGTTTGTTTTTCAAGGATAACCTCCTGAGTAGTTACCAATGCTTAGTGCTCACTCGGTCCTGGGCTATAGGCTTGGGTGCTGCTGCTCCGCTGACACTCCACACGTAATCTGCCAGGGATCTTTGTCTCAGATTTCCCGGCAATTGTCAAATCAAAACAAACAGACACCCACCAGAAGCTCATGAAGATGCCGTTTTTCAACAACAATAGCTTTTGCTTTTCCTCTGCCAAGACACCATAACAGTTTGCTGGACAGATATGATAAAGAAAACAACCACACAAAACAAAATGAAGACCAGTTTTGGTTATTAAAATAATAACAATCCCAGCTACTCCTTCTGTCTGGGTCCTAACTAGAAAGGCAGGCAGTATCAGTTAGTCAGTGCTTACTCAGCACTTCACCCAGGAAGTCTGATCTAAGGGAGAAGCAGCGTGAGCACATCAGAGGACGGTGTGGAAGAAGCTGCTCTTGCACTGGATGCAGCCCCAGGAATCTGCCTGCTTGCACAATTTGCTCCTGTTTGCAACTCCGACAGTTTTTAGGGAAGTGTCTGCCATGTCCATGGCACATGAGGAAATCAGCAGCAAAGGCAGACCACAAGAAAGCGTGTTTGATCTGGTGCATCCCTTACATCTGCGTGTAAATGCAAAGTAAACACACAACATCTCCTTCATCTTCCCACTGTGAGAATCTGGACAGTTGCTTAAATCAGAGAGTCTCCATGAGAGCACAGCAGTCTCTTCGCAGGCAATAACCCACACTGTTAGAAAGCAATAACCCTCAATCCCCAACAGGAGAGCAGAGATGCAAACAAAAGCAGGTAATTAACTGCGAGCAGCCACTAGAGACACCATCTGGCCCCTTCTGATGTGAAAAACGCCCTGGGCAGGAGGTGCCAAGCACGTCTCCTGCTTTTCTGAGCTCCCGGGGTGCCAACAACATCCTGCAGGAAATACTCCTGCTCCCTCGGCCTCAGATCCAGCAAGTTGGTGAAGAATTATACACAAACAAGGCAACTCACCCGCGTCTCCCACACCCTTTGTACTCCCAGAACCCAACACAGCAGACATCTGTACTAATTTCTTCCTAAGACAAGCAGGGAAAATAAAGGTACAGAGAAGCAGATGGCCATCATCCTCCGTGTTCTTCATGAATCAAAAAGTTTCCCTTGTTCACACTAAGTTGCTTTCTAAAGACAAACTGCCAGTTTTCCTCCCTTCCAAGTACCCCTTTATCCTCTTGAAGTGTTATTTTGTGCCATTTCCTGCAAAGCACTCTCACCAGCCAAAGCAGATCCTTCTACCAACAGGGTAGGAAGGGAAAAATATTATCTAAAGACCATTTAATTTCAGACCCTGGATTTATGCCATTATGCCTAAATACTTTGGGATTTCCTGCCAATTAAATCTACATTAACTAAAAACAATATTAAAAAATATTATTTCATTCCAAAATTACATCTTTAAAATATACAAAGGCACTAGAGAAATGATATGAGTCCTTCACAAGAAAAAAATGGGTTATATCCAAGAAAGCACAATTGGGAAGTTTACATAACTGGTCACTCTTCCAGTTCTGGCTGTTCTCACATTTAACCATGCTCAAGCTTGCCGTGCAGAGGCAAGAAGTTTGCAAATACTGTAAAAGTTCCCTAGAAAAGCTGAGCTAGTGTAGCCACTGTTAACAGATTTGGAACACCTAGGAGAAAGCAAACATTTGCTTATAGCCAAAGCATCACAAGCTTGGCAGTCCCCTTGTTTCAGGGGACTCTGGAGGTTTCCTAGAATGCAAGACTTCAAAGCATACTGAGACAGCTTATCAGCCTTCCTTGACATTTATCAGACCAGAAAACAGCGAGTCTTGCTCAACTCCATCCCTCTGACTAACGTGAATGTACTTCTCCTTTTGCCAAAGGGAAAAAAAAAGCACACAGTAAGTGCTTCAAAATTTTAGCCTCAAATTTTTACAGGTAAAGAAATTTGGTCGTAAGAGTCAGTGTTGCAATAGGCAGAAGGAATAATGAAGAGAATGGTTTCTCTTGAGTCAGCACTGAGAGGAGGTTTTACCTCAGAGGCATTTTTCGTGTAGCTACATCGTGCTGCCATTTGTATCACTCCACTCCAGCCTGGCAGAGCACAGATGTGTTTATATAGAGTTGAGAACTCCTTGTGCCTCTGGCCCCAAACCTGCACCACTGCTGAGCTTTACTGCACAGAAACTCGTCCTGCACATCCTGCCCTGTCCAACGCAGTCAGCATTTTTCATGCAAAAATGCTCCATGGATCTGGTCCCAAGCAAGGGCTGGTGTGAAAACACACATTGAATTCTCCTGGCAGAGACCTCTCTCCAAACCAGTGGCGATAACTGACAACACAGGACAAGGGACTGCACAAAGGTGGCATTCCAGAGTGGGAAGGAGGAGGCACCACAGGAGTCTGCCCAAACTCAGTGCTGGGCAATACTGAGAAGCCAAGCACAGACATTCACCTTCACACCAGAGTGAGAAATCAAGCACGAAGGAACAGACTGATGCCACATTCTGCACGCCTGTTTAGTCATCAAAGCAACAATTAAAACCAGCTTGGGCCAAATCTGTCTCTTCCTGACAAAATCTGAATAACAGCACAGTCTTGAAATTTTAGTTTGGGGAGCAACCCTTTAAACAAATGAGGGCCGTATTCAACATGTCTGATGGCTACCTGAAGGTTTGTGAAGACTCTGCTCTGTAACACTTGACCTACTTCACCCGACTTCATTTTGCATTTACTCCTGGTGATTACTGTTCCATTTCAATTAATAACTGCATCTCTTGCATCACAAAAGAGTTATGTGAACATAAACTTCACAATCTCACGTAGCAAAATCATTTTGCCAAGTGACTGACACAGCCTATTAACACACATCTGCATTTATGGTTTCAATCCCATTCTGGAAAAGAAAAAAATGCCTTTGAGGATAGCAAGGTCCAAACAGCAATACAAGTATTGCAAACTGGAATTTCTTTCAAGCAGTGGGGCTAAAACCCCAACTCAGTCTTGGAGGGTATTACCAAAGCTCCGGTCCTCTGTCAGCATCTGTACTGCCTTCATCAGGGCTGGGAAAGGAGCTCTCATCCTGGAATGCAGCAGGCTGAGCATCTCATAGATCAGCAGCCAATTCCTTTACGTTTGTGCCTCATGAAGGACTCGAGATTTTATGCCAAATCCAGTGGACTGGAAGATGGGGGAGGAAGGAATGACAGACCTTGCCGTTCTCGGGACAGGGAGAAAGTTTTTCCAGATGCCTATGGCTGACTGCTACCCTTATCCAAGCCCTAGGTAAACAAAAGCTAAGGGAGAGCTCTGTAAGAGCAGGCACAAACTCACACTTCCTAGCTCTCTACAGTGCTTACCTTCAGCACTCCAAGAATCAAGAAACCAACAGGAAAAAATTCCCTGCCCTCATGTCATTAAAGTTATTTTAGGAGACTTCAATACAGTGGAGGTCTCCTGCTGCCAAAAAGACCACAATCCTGTTTTACACACAAACAGATTCGGCGAGGAATCTGAGTTTCCTCCTCGCTTGGCAAGATTTCAAAGATCCCGACAGAGCCAGGTAACTTCTTAGTCAGAGAAGCAAAAACGCACTTATGAGCAAAAGGTGTGACACGTGGAACACAAACTGAGCTCAGGACCAGGACCCATCCCAGGAGCTGCAGCGTCCGTGTTCTCCAGGCTCACCCTTGTGTCAGTGGCGACTTGGACTTGTCGCCCTTTCACTCAGCATCCCCATCTATTTGTCCTAGTCCAACCGCGATTCCGTGTGCCAGCCAACGGCCAACTGGAGAAAAAGGCTACAAGCCCTTCGTTTAGACCATTTGCCATGGCAATGCCCACGATGTAAGTTATGAAAAGTCCCATCTACCCTGCATGTCCTGCAACGCTGAGTCCAGTCGGGGAATCTGCACAGAAGGAAGCCCAGGACAGGGAGAGGAAGATCAAGTTTATTTCAGTGAAATTAAAACCACCCCAGAGAGTCGCGGGCGATGGAAGATGGATGGCATCGCCGAGGAGAAAGGCTCTGACCCGGCAGCTGCACAGCACGGGTGGGGAAAGGCACCGAGATGCAAAGAAGAGAAAGGAGAGGCAAAAAAAAAGGATGGCAAGGCCGGCGCCGGCAGGACGTGGCAGCCCCCTTACCGTAGACCAGCTTCTTCATCTCGTGGTACCTGGCCCACAGGTAGGTCTTGGTATCGGCGCCCTCGGCCGGGACGGACTGGCCGCCCACTCTGCCGGGGGCCGCCGGGTGCTGTTCCCGGGGCTGCCCGTGCCCACCGTCCCCGGTGCCTTTGTGCCGGCAGCTCTGGCAGGACACGGCCACGGAGAGGAGCCAGGGGGCCGCGCCGCTGCCCCTCCGCAGCGCCGCCGAGCCCACCACCGCCATGGCCCCGCCGGACGCCGCAGCTTCGGGGCACCGCGCACGGTCGGGGCTGCTCCGTTCCGCTGCCCGCTCCGCTGCCCGGCCCGCGGCGGCACCGGCGGCGGCCAATCCCCGGTGTAAGGGGCCGGCCCGGCCGCGCCCCGCCCACAGGGGCCGCGCCGCGCCGGGCCGGGCCGGGCTGGGAGGGGCGGGGCCCGGTGGGCGGGGCCGGGGCGCTCACGACTCCCTCGCGCCAGGCCCCGCCCCTGCCCTGGCCAATCAGAAGGGGCGCTGGGTGGTCACGTGGGCCCTCGGCGCGTCCTTCTGTGCGGCCGCGCGCGGAGCCCTCGCGCGGGAGGTGAGCGGCGCGTGGCGCGGGGTCGCGCGCGGCGGACGCGGCCCTGATTGGCTGCGCGTTCCCGCCTGAGGGGAGGGGGCGGCGGGGGCCGAGGGGCCGCCATGGCTGCCATGGGTGCGGGAAGTGGGACGGGGCCCGCTCGGGCCAGGGCCTCTCCTCGCCCGCCGCCGGCTGCGGCCACCGTGTGACTGCGGCACGTCCCGTCCCGCCTCTCACACGCCCTTCTCTGTTCTCTCCTCCACCCGGGAAGGACGGAGACGCCGGTGCCGCTCGGCCATGCTGGTCAGCGAGAGGTTGAAGCGGCTTTTGAGGTTGGTGCCCGGGCAGCGGCGCTTTGGCTTTTACAGGTTCCTGCCTTTCTTCTTCGTGCTCGGCGGAGCCATGGAGTGGTTCATGATCAACGTCCGCTTCGGCAAGGAGACCTTCTGTGAGTGCGGGCTCCTGTGACAGCAGCGCGGGCGCAGCGGGGCCCGGCCCCGGCCCGCACCTGCGGCCACGCACTGCTCCTGGTCGGGCAGGATGGGGCACCTCCGGCTCTGCCTCCCCAGCAGGAGAGCAAACACAAAGCCTGGGTTTAGAGTACTGAATAAAAATTTAGCTGAAAGAGGGTACATTTAGATGGGATATTAGGAAAAAATTCTTTAAGGATTGAGGCCCTGGCACAGGTTGCCCAGAGAAGCTGTGGCTGCTCCGCCCCTGGAAGGGTCCAAGGCTGGAGAAAACTGGTCTAGCAAAAAGTGTCTGTCCATGGCAGGGGGATGGAACGAGATCTTTAGGGTTCCTCTCAAATCAAACTATTCTGCAATGATTGAGAAAGACTCATGAGGTTTGCCAGCATTTAAACAGAGGTGTGGCATCATCTGAAACGTGACTTTAACAACTTAGTAAGTATGAAAATGGCTTATGGGAACTTGGCTGATGGAATTTAGTTTATATAAGTCAAAGCATTTATTTCGAATGTGACATTCCTCCCTTTAATAAACCCTGCTAGAAATTTTCGTGTTCTTCACTGAAAGGATCAGCTCAACTTCATGTGGTATTAGGGAACGGGGAGGCAGGAAGAATGACTGGGAAGACCATGGAGATGGGAATAGTCCTGTTTTGCTTATATAAAAAAGGTTAAAATACTGAAGTCAGGCTGGAAGCCCTCAGGCATTGACTTCATGCCTATTATTTAATCTCTCTTCAGCTCGTTAGGGCATTTGTAATTTTAATTATCCCCGTGGGAAAGTATACAAGAAACAATTATTTTGCACTAGATACTTAGTTTTCCTAGAAAAACATTTCATTGGGACTGATGGGAAGAACTTTAGCCTGTATGGGAGAGAGAACATGAGCTATTTTAAGTGGTAATAAGGATTTCTGTTGGCTTGAATTTCCAGCTGCCTATGTCAGTCAGCATCTGCAAGATAAGTTTGGATTGAAAAGTTTAGAAAGAGATGACAGGATTCATGTATTTAACAACATCGTGCACTGGGGAAACTAATCTAAAACATATTTTTCTGCAGATGATGTTTACCGTAGGAAAAGATCTGAAAGACAGTATGAGGCAAAGATGGAGAAAGGGGAATTTTAGCTGAAACTCTTGAAGAGAGAGCTCCTGAGTGCTTCAGCTGTGCAAGTGCCAAAGCAGCAGCACTGCCACGTTGATGGTGGGGGAAGATGTTGGCTCTGCAGGATGAACTGTGATCCACACGTTTGTACAATACAGTCAGAGGGTTTGGGCAGTTTTGTTCTTCCATATCTGTAATATTTGTATTTAAATGAAGTGAAAATTTCATTGTATTTGGGCCTCTGCCACTAATTTAATGTTTGCTCAGTGTTTCTAAATAAACTAAACTGAGTAAACAGTCTGGCTCTTGGATTTGTTTGCTTGGTGAAACACTCCCCTTGTGACAAGAGCAGTGGGAAAGAAACATAGTGCATCCATCTCGGCATAATGGAAATTGTAATTTTGAGTTAGTTTCTTTTATACTTACAGGAACTGCTCTGCCAGCTGATTTGTTTTCTTTGCAATGTGGCACAATTTTGAGAGCACAGATTTACTGCTCAGTGTTTGCTCAGCCCACAGTGGTTGGAGAGTGCCCAGGTGTGACAGGGACCAGAGCAATGTGCAGTGTCACCCTTGAGTCCTGGGGTGGAATCCTGTCCCCAAGGCAGGAAAACAGGGCTGGCTGCTGTGTCCCAGCAGTTTGCTCCCTGCACAGTGACAGCAGGAACGTGGCAGAGGTTGGTGTCTGGTACACTGTAATTTTTGAGGATCCTATATTGATACAATTGCTTAATTTCTGAGGGTAGGGGTCGGGCTGAAAGTGCAACAAAGAAGCCAATTCTTAAGATCAGCCTAAAGCCAATCCCGTGGGAGGTGGTGCCCTTACAGGTGTTCTGTGCTGCCTCCTGTCAGTCTTCATCAACTGAAGAGACAGGGGCAGCTCTGTAGAGGTCAAGGTGAAGGTTGAAACAAAGGGGAACCTTTTATGTTGTGCCTTCCAAAGACTTGATCTGGAGGATTAATGCTACTTTTGTTTTCAAGGGATAAAAACTGACAGGTTAAAATCATAGAAATTAATATAAAATCAAATCATGTTTTGACTGAGCAGCAAGTGAATCACTTGATGAAAGCCTCTAGTTCACAATAAGAACTTTTGACTTTAGTTCCAAGGTATGGCCCTTGTGAACAAGCTGCTTTTTGCAGTCACAAATCATCACACTGAAGTCAATCCTGACCGTAGCAGTACAGTAAAGAATAAAACAATAAGAAAAAAAGCCAGATTTTGAAAGCTACTGAGCTTTAGCTCCATCTGATTTTTATTTCTTGGGCCCTTGGAAACTCTCTTGTGCTTGTTTTCAAAAAACGAATAAGCTTTGCAATGTATGTTTTTTTTTCCAACCAAGAGCCCTGTGCCCTAGTTATTTCTCAGGACTCGGGAGCCTGATGTGAAAACTTCCTGTGGCTTCCTTTAAGCGCTCCTGCAGGAGTAGCAGTGTTCCACAGACACTTGTGAGCCAAGCCCAGCTCTCACTTCAGACCTCCTGCTTGTTTTGCAGTGACTGTTTCCCATTGGCAGCTGAGAGCACCAGGCACATCCAGAAAGCCTCTGGGATGTCTCTAGCCAGGCAAACAGAAAGGGAGAGAGGCTACAGTCACTCACAAGATGTCTGGTGTCAGGGAGTTTTGTGTCACTGATCCTGGTGACCACTACAGGAATAAAATCCTCTGAGCTGGCACAGTACCACTTCAGGCAACACAGATCTGTTATGACAGAAGATGAAGCTTGACATTTAGAAATCTGAGCTGCAGTCTCCAATCCTCAGTGTGTTTGCTGGTGCTGACCCTTTGGCATTTTTAGATTTTGCCAGTCTCTCATTAATGCTGGGAATCAGAATAGTTGCAATTCCCCATTCCAGAATTCCAGCTCATTCCACAGCCGAGCACACTAGGGGATTTAGCATCAGTTTTAAACTACACTCTATCTTCAACAACCAAAGTCTTCATTTGGTTTTGCAGTTCTGTTCCTGCTGACTCCCAATTCTGTGCTCTTTGCCTTCCCCAGTACTCTCTGACTCTCGTATCCCTGTCTCCCTCCCATCCTCCAGCTCCCACATCCATCTGCTGTGGCAAAGGGAACAGGGAGGAAGCAAGAGCTCTCCTTTGGCTCGGCACTCAGGGAACACCGTGTGGCTGTTCCAGGCTGCTGGGGCGAGCCAGGGTCACAGCTTCCACTTCCAGCCCTGCCAGCCCAGGGCTGAGCACATCACTTCCTTCTGCAGGGAATTCAGCAGAGGATCAACAATTTTGTGCACTTAGAGCCAAGAGGGAGCTAAGTACATTTTTGATTGATCATTAGTATCTCAGACTGAGAAAATAAGATACAGAGGATGATTCGTTTCCTCTGGGCAACTGCAACAGAAGGGCAGAAGTGTTGTGAAGCTGGCAGCCTGTGTGAAAGGCAGCATTTATCCCCCAGGCTGGAAACATGGATGTGTGTTAATTAAATTATGCTGTGCTCTGACTGCTTAAATAGCTCTCTGTAAATTTTGTGCCAGGCACCTTGAGAGGTTCCTATCACTTAATTTTTCTTGCAGTTTGTACACAAAATTTCTATCCTTGGTTCTAATTTAGTTGTGTAAAAGATATTTTTTCCATGTTACTCATCTAATTTCTTCTGTTAAACAGCTACATGGAAGACAGTTCTGAACCATATTAGCTTCCATATGAAATTAAGGTTTGCTGTTTATTTTCAAACCAATTAATAAGGGGGCATCTGGGACTGACAATCTTACCACCTCCACTCAGCTGGTTCCCAATGCTTCACAGATTTTTCAAGGTTCGCTGTTCATGCTCGTTTATAGTTCAGTTTTCAACACCACTGTTCTTACCACCTACAGGCACATCTCAAAATACACAGAGCAACAGAAAAAGGTTATTTTATCCACACATAAGCACACATGATCCAAGGACTTCAGAACATCTGGATCAGCAACAGCCAGAAATACTTGAAATAAAATCGTAACAGAAGTCTTAATGGAACACTCACACCTGGTTAATCCAAAACACTTTGCAAACTATTTTTATTCAAATTAAAAAGACTCAGGTAAACAAAGTGATGGTACATACATGTTATAAACCTGGTTAGCAGCTCAGCCTTCAGGAGTACAAGATCTAATGAAAAGCTAAGCATGGATAAACCAGGTACAAAAACATATGCTGAAAAAAAGTCACCAACATCAACGTTTTGAATTTTTACACGAACAGTAAATTTTCTCATGGAAGGGAAGGACTGAGGAAGAGAACAAATAATTCTTAGTTGTCTCCAACTGGTTTATGAAAATACCTGTCCTAGTTTTATCTATTTTCCACTCTCACAGAAGCCAACCATTGCCCACACATCCTTTTGTTTTAATATGAAAGTTTTGTTTATGCCAGTACAATGAACGGCAGTGAAAAACAGATGAGGGGCTCAAACACCCACAAAGAGAGAAAAAGAGACAGACATACATGTTGGTTTTTTTGTTTTTTTAAACCAGAGTGAGAAAAGTTTCTTTTGCTGGTTTTGAATTCTAGACTGTAGCCATTATATCCTAAATTTCACTGCAATTGACTGAAATGCCTCCAGTATAGAGAGAAACGATTTTGAAATAAATAAGGCTTAAAATAATTGATCAGGGCCAGCCCAGTGGCTTAGTGGTAGTGCTCTGCACTGCCTTGAGGGAGAGCCAGGTTTTGTTTGCACTTCCAATCTCTTGCTCCTGGGCCAGAAAGAGCAGTGAAAGGAGGGATTCAGCTGCTCAGCAGGAGAGAGCCAGTGCTGCACATCTGCTCATCACTGACCTTCAGATAAATTAAACATCTGAGTTATACAGGCTCCAAAGGGAGTCCCATCCAGTCCTCAAAAGAAAATAAATAAAACAATAATTTAATTAAAATTCATCCCAAGTTCTTTGGTGTAATTTTTGTTAATGCTGAGAAGTAGAAGAATCTGGTGGTGTATTAGTACAATCCATGATAGTTCCAAATGCTCAAAAACTAGGATTTTGCTGCCTGATTCACTTCAACATCCCATCTTTGTGGCTAAAAACTGCAAAACCTATGGTAACTTAAATGCATTTTTTAAGGGTGGTCTAAGACTATGCAATTTCTACTTTATTAAATAAAACTGGTAATTTACAAAGGCCAGTAAAGAATTTTCTTCTTTTGTACCATGGGTGTGCTACTTGTAGGGTTCAAAACTGTCCTTTCCCTCTATGTTGTTTTGTTCCATTTCCTTCACATTCATTGCACATCTGACCTAAAATGTCTTTAAGTGCCTATTTGTAATTACCTGGGGTATTCTGTGCAATGACTGGAGGATTGCAATAGGAGAGGGAGAAGAAGTGGCCAGTAAAATTAAATCACAGTTTATACTTGCAAGTGTCACTTCCCTCATGAGTATTAATTACATCAGCAAAACAAACCCCAAGATATCCAGTATTTGAAGGAAAATATTTAATTTAACCTTCTGTCAAATATACTGAAATGAAAATGTTCTGTACTAACAGACTTTAGAACTCATTTCCACATGATGAACATCTCTAGCATATATGAAGTGTATCAGTAAATCAATTCATTTGGGCTGAGCTGCAATGCCCACATTCCTGCTGACTTCCCAAATTCATAGAGCTTTCCCAGTTACTTAAAGCAATCCAAAAGTATTAATTCTTTTTCCAAAATTAAATAAATGAAAGGATTTACCTTTAAACAAGTAACTTTGTAGTCCAAAAGGTTGGTTAGTTATGAGGACAGGTAAGTCTTTAGCAGAAGGCAGCCACAACCTCGAAATTTGGCAAGAAGAGTCAATATCTACTTTACATAGATAAAAAAAAAAGAAAAAAAACCAAAACAAACCCAAACCCTTTGAAGGCTGCAATGCAAGTACTCTATTTCTTCAATGTACTGGGTATGCTGACCTTACACATACCATACCATACAGTAGTATTTTACTTTCAAGTTAATTTAAGCATCAAATTTCACTCAAATTTGCATTGCAAAACTTTCACTAAGGTTAATGAATACACTTAAAGAAAGCATACAAAAATGTCCTACAATGCCCAATCATGAACAGAGCATGTGTGAATTAAAAAAAAAAAAAAAATCACATTACTTCACTAACAGAACAAGTCCACTTTTCTCCCCTAACTTACCTTCCAGGACCTGGGCTGGTTCTGAGTTCTGCGAGCCTCTTCCAGCACAGGGAAGAGCTTCCCTGCCCCACTGCTGGGTGTGGGGACATCACAGAACCCCCAGCACAGGGCATGGCAGATGAAACACTTCCTCTCTAAGGGCCTGCCAGCACAGGGACTGTGTTACT